GATGTGGCTCTGAGCGGGCTAGCTTATAGTCGCTGTACCAATACAATCTTATCATATTCTTTCGAGCCGCTAAAATATAATATGCTCCGCGAGTGCTGACCGCCAAATCTAGTCCAACAAGCGATTCTGCCCGTCGGGTGATCGCGGACGTTGCCTTTATGCAGCGGTAATGGTAAGCATGTGTCAATGAATGTCAAGAAAAACAAAATATGTACTCACGTCTTTGTGCGTCTTGTTTATGTTAATCAGAGCTGCTTCAAATGTTTGGTGCGGAAGATCACATGCATAAGGCATTCCCCATGGTTCAGCTGGCACGTATATCGGCTCTGAAATAGGTTTCATTTTTCCATTTACCTTCATCGCATAAATTTTTGGTAAAAAAGAAACTGGCTCTGATAGGGAAGGCTCCAATTTACGATAGATCCAACGATGGTTGTGATCCATCGAATGCAACTTCCGCTCCCAAATCTTTGAGAGACATCCCACACTAGTCAAATGGGCGGGTCGGGCTCAAAATCGCCGTTTCCTGAGCCCCTCTTTCCAACGAAGGTGAAGAGGAGGAGAGCAGAAGAGCACCAAATAATGAAAGCAGAACCGCAGGCCCGACCCCGCCCATAAGGTTGGCGCAAAAAATGTTCCAAATGCAGAGCCCATATTCTAGTCAAAATATGGTTGAACTTTTTCGGCATGAACAGGTTATACACCCACTTGTCTTCGTTCGTGAATCTGAAGCGTCATCAGCGTAATTCCTGCAGCACAGCGCATAGGTGCCCAACGCATCGTCCAGCTGACAGTACGCCTCTGACCCAACTGCGTATTGCCGATCAATGTGGATATCCGACAAGTGTAGAAATCTGTATGTGGGTTTGTTGTCCTAAACTGATAAATTTACCGAGGTCAAGCCAAACAAACAAGCGCTTACTGGAACTGTTGGCCATGGCTTCACAGGTGGTTTATTGTCCGGTATTGAGATATTCCACATGACGTGGAATGGGAATACAGATTGACCGCAGTCTTTGATGAAAGCTCCACAGAATTCGTTCGGTGTGAAAAGAGTTTTCTCCAACACGAAAACCACCTCGTACTGAAACAAGTTGTCTTGAAATTCTCGTTACGACACGACAGCGTTATGGAAAAATAAGTGATATGGAATCAAAGAGTTCCAAGGAGACCATTTTTCAGCTATCACCGACAGATTTCAGGGCCTTGCAGGGGGTGCTCTAAATGAAGATTAGTATTGGAATGGTGGAAACAGTAGGACGGCGGTAAATGGCACTAGTAATTACAATAAACATGGTCAAATGGCGGAACTCCGGCTTGTCTCGCATAGGCTAATCGAGTCTTCTATTGTTTCTAGGTCTATTAGTTAGAATCAGACTGATTTCTGGAGGTGGGAACGCAGAATTGCCCGCAAAGAGGTACGTTTGCTAATTGCCTAGGTTTCATACGCATTCAAAGCAGTCAGAATTCTGGAGGGATTCGAGTGTGTGGTTTTTGTGGTCTTAAATGGCCTGAAAATGAGATTTTGTCTACAGAAGGAGCAATCCATTTCATTTTTCTAACCTCTCAACTAACTTCGGAGACTATTCGTCGAGATGGGGCAAAGAATCAGAAATCACAGGCTTTGCTGGCAAACGTTAACTAAAGGTTTCACAGTGAATGAGGATTCTTGGTCCGTTTTTGAGTCTTGCGGTTTCAAAATCTCGACAGCTTGATTTCCTTGCTATCTTAGCAGGAGAGATTTCCTGCTATCTCTTCCTGTAGTTAGTATTTTGTTGGGATTGCGAAAGCCACAACCATTTGGAGGCTAACTTATGCCTTATCCTAGCGGTGGCGACCGCTCATGCTTATTATTGCATGCTCCTTTATAAAATTTCCGAAACACTGTAAGGGTCTTCCTCTCAAGAAATTACAAAATAAAGGTGTAGTTTCTGTTGAACGCACAGCTAATCAAGGTAGGGTACAGTATCTTTGTGCGAAGCCCGTCAACACCCCATCATTGTGGAAGTGTGTCTCGTATTTGGCACAGTAGGAATTTTTCCCGATTGTTAATTTATCTCTTCAACGCGTGCGGTATACATCCTCCATGTGGCGGTACCATGTTTCTGATGGCCGATCGGATGCCTACACCAGTACAAGCAATTGAGCATGGGACGGGATGAGCGGTGTTAGTATCCCTCCTCTTGAGGGCAAAATTTTAGGAACTTTAGTAGCGTGGGTGGGATGTGAGCGGGCGTGGTGGAGGAGTAATTTAAGAGGGAGGGTGCTGACATCATTAACACGGCCATTTCACCGATCCCAATGCTGTGGCCTGATTTGAAACCTGCACTATTCCTACTGTTAGAAGGAGTCAAGCGGGTTGTGAGCACTCCATCGCTAAATTTTTTACCGCATTTTTTTGATTTGCTAATGGAATGATTCTATAAATGGCAAAAACATACAACATTTGAAAACATTCTGAAAATATTAAAATTGAGCATTACCGTGTATGCTTGCACAATGTGCTTACAAACATGCGGCTGCTCGAGGTTGATGGCATCACAGAGGTTTCTGAAATGAGTAAGGCCGATGATAAGGTACCAGTTCTCACCGTTCGTGAATGAGATTGAGAGAACTGCCCGAAGAATTCAAAACGCGGCCGGCTTAGTTGAAAAACCACCGCCAAACAGTGGAAGGGTAGCAGGGGAATTAATATGAAAAAGCATTGAATCATTGTTTAAGAGTTCTTGAACAATAATTGTTGGGGTAAAGAATAGGAGGTACACTTAGGCTGTAGACGTCGTGGCGTGTCAAGGGGGGCAAGGACTGTCGCGGCGCCAGCTCGTTCTCAACCAACAGTTGAAAGGAGGGCAAAAGGACAACCTGTGGAACTGGGCGTCGTGCCAACCAGCTTCTTCCCACCCTTTACCTGTTCATGTCCAGAATTTGCAACGGAAACGAGACGGAGAGAGACGGAGACGGAGACGTCGGGCCTTCCATACTGAAGGGGAGGTTTGTAGTCGAAAGGTTGTTGAGACAGCAGTCAAGTAAGGATCGCGTTTAATGGTTCGTTTCCCAGCCCCTTTTTTTAGCTTTCCAGTGCAGATGGCATTCTCCTCTTAGAATGCGTGCCTGAATTGTGTTCTAACAATAAGGCAAAGAAAAACACTACTGGTTAAAAACCCATCAACTACTGAGGCGCTAAGCCAGGAAAAATGGGAGTGTCGCTATTCGTACCAAATCTCCCCGATCATAACAGGAGCTCTGCGCAACCTTCTTCAGCTTGACCCTTGATATTCAAAAACTTAAAGGGATTCTCAGTCTGAGGTTACCCCGTTTTCTCCACTCTCAGTTCATACAATAATGTTCTTGAAACCAAGTTCAGTTACCCAAAATTTTAAAATCAGTTACCCAAAATTTTAAAACGTAATCTCTCTGTAGATGTCATAGACTGATCATAGGCACCACTCACGTTAGGAAGTTACCAATTTCGACATCTGTTTTATTTTGCTGGATCATCAGATTTATTCCATCCACCACCATGGTACAGAGATCACAAGAAAGAGCAGCGTTCTCAGTTATAAACCTCCTCATGCGTCGCATTACCTGAAATATCGGTTATAATGAATTGAAGGAGACCTAACAATGCAACGGCTAACACACTAGCCCTTTCAGAGGGTTTTAGTTCTAGTCCTGGTTAAGGCTAAGCGTTTTGTTCATAAGTTAGGACTCTTGTGGTGGCTATCGATTACCTTACAACTGATTGTGTCATAAAAGCACGAACTCAAACACCCAGGAAGGTTGCGGCTCAATGCTTCCCTCTACCTCCGCCGTCTGGACGACGCCAGTGAGCTCCTATTCTCACCAATGGAAGCCTTGTTCACAGCAGAGCTGGGGCATGTCCATTGCAAAGGATGTTGCCTGGCGCTGGTCCATTCTCCTCCAGTGATTGCCGATTCTCCATTGGCGGAAGACGTACTGTTCACCGAGCCAGACGCAGCCCTCCTTCCCTTTCACGTCCCTCATTGTCAGCACTCGCAGCGAGCAAAACTATTCTGTAGCTACTTCGTCTGACAAGAAGACAAAGCACAAGACTGAGAGCATTGCCTGCTTCCATTCTCTTTCAAAGAGAAGCATTCAAAGCCCGCTAAGATTCAAACTGTTAGTCGACCTCATTTCGGATCCGAATAGAGTTCAGTAAGCCTAGAACTCCCCATTTTTCAAGACCTTCACGATTAATTAGTTTCATTTATTTATTTGTTTTACACTACTATGTGGGATCTAAAAAATCAGCAAAACATTGCGCACTACTCATTGGTTTATAACAGACAAGGTCTTCACTCAACTTCCGGGAACGGTCCTTCGCTATGTATCGGGGGGGGAGGGGGATGGGACAGCATTTTCTGCGCTGACCTCATGGTATAGCAGTTGCGTCGATACCAAAGCTCGTCGAGAACACGCACTCAGAGATAGCGAACAAGCGGAAATAATGGGGTGCAGACAAGTAGCGCGCTTGACTATGGTCAGAGGTACGTGAGGGTGGACCTGAGGGCACCGCGAATGGGATCGCTGGCACCAGATACCACATCTCTCCAGACCCACTCCTGTGCGCTTTTCTTGAGGATCGAGAAAGGCACGCAATACCCGCGTGCGGTCTACTGACCAGACTCAAGCGTTCGTTCACCTCGAGCCTTCCAAACAGGAGAGAGCGCGAGGTAAGTGCGCAGTGCTAAGTGCTTGAACAGAAAGTACTAAGCTAGAATTCGCGAAAAAAAAATGTCTATTAAAAGACTGTCGCTAGTTTGAAGCAACAGTTCTGGCGTGTGTCCCCTTGCGCCGTACACCCCCCCCCCCTCTCCCCCCTCCTATTCTCAAACCCGTGAAAAAAGAGTGGATGGGCCTTATATTTCCCAAAATAGAAAATAGACGTTGCATGCACATCCTGAAGGGAATGCCCACTATTAGCAAATTACAAACAACTTGGAAATAAAAATACCTTGTCCTTGGAAATCCTAACATTTCCACCACTGTCAGGTAACACACTTGCTAGGCCAAGTGAAGCAAATGCGATGAGGAGGAAGATCTTCATTGTCCAATTTGCCTCGAAAAGTTACACTGTATGTCACTGCATAGGAACAAAAGCCTAAGGGATTATCATCACAAAACGAAAACAGCGCTGAACCACGAAAAGGTTCGATAGGCTGTTATCAAAGCGCTTTTGACGCTTTTAATAGCAAATGACGAGAAAACGTAAGGCGTTTATCTTCACGGTTTTTGGAGCGCATAGAATGTAGCGCACAATGCAAAAAAGTTATTGATAAGAAGGAGCTTAAGGCGCAGACAATTCCGTCTTGTTCTAGAGGATTAACACGTTAACGGCATTCTGAGCCACCGGTGGTTCATAAGTGAGTGGCCACGTGGGACAATATGAGCCACCGGTGGCTCAAACCTTCCTCCACCACCACCTTTCGGCTTATTGCCATCAGTATCAGTTGATCTTTTTCTTGCTTTCGAATAACCTGTGAAAGGTGAATGTCCAACAGGGATGAGCAAGAAAAATGTTGCTGCCTCCATGGGATATTTTGAATTAAAATTGGAAATTTTAAACTAGCTACTGCTGCGACAGAAACCTCTAAAACAGTTCTTTTTGGACGGAACCTTGGCTGCAGGGAATGCGCGGGGCTTTGATCATGAACGTGAGATCTTATTTGTCGTTGGCGCCATATGGCGCCAGATCTTATTTGTCGTTGGCGCCATATGGCGCCAGTAGGCGCCATTTCGGCGCTAGCAGTCTTTTTGGCACCGAATGCGATAGAAACCTCCATAGCCTATTTTGTTATGATAACTGCTGTTTAACGCCGCAGTACGCGTTCCGAATGTTATCACAAGAATGCTGAGTTGTGGGCAAAAGTCGTGCCCCAGGCGGGAGTCGAACCCGCACCTCACGCTTTCCGGGCGAGTGCGCTATCCGTTACGCCACCAGGGCCGCTTTTACCCTCTCAGCTTAACGGCTTATGCCGTAACCTTACAGCACTCACACGTTTAACTTGGTGATCATAAAACAGCTTCAAAAACTTGTAAAGCCTTCGGCCTTGCGGTTCCATGCCGATATCTAACGATTACGGCTGACCGGCTCACCAAGTTAAACGTGTGAGTGCTGTAAGGTTACGGCATAAGCCGTTAAGCTGAGAGGGTAAAAGCGGCCCTGGTGGCGTAACGGATAGCGCACTCGCCCGGAAAGCGTGAGGTGCGGGTTCGACTCCCGCCTGGGGCACGACTTTTGCCCACAACTCAGCATTCTTGTGATAACATTCGGAACGCGTACTGCGGCGTTAAACAGCAGTTATCATAACAAAACAGCTTCAAAAACATCTAAAGCCTTCGGCCTCGCGGTTTCATGCCGATATCCCATCGATTACGGCTGACCGGCTCACCAAGTTAAACGTGTGAGTGCTGATAGGCTACGGCATAAAAGCCGTTAAGCTGAGAGGGTAAAAGCGGCCCTGGTGGCGTAACGGATAGCGCACTCGCCCGGAAAGCGTGAGGTGCGGGTTCGACTGGGGCACGACTTTTGCCCACAACTCAGCATTCTTGTGATAACTAAACAGCTACTTTATTTGACATCCTCGTCACAAATATATCGTTGCCTTCCAGTGTTGGCGCCACCTGGCGCCAGCGGGTGCCACTTTGGCGCCAGCGATCTTCTTGGCACCGAATTGGGTTCATTGAAAAGTAAAAGAACTGTTGTTAATATAGGAAGGTATCTCATACCAGTAAAGGAGGTAGGAAACATAAGATACAAGATCAAGTAAGGAACAAGTACGGGTGGTCCGTTTCGCCTCTTCCTCAGACGAACCACTTTGTGTACGTTAGCTCCTGAGGCTCTTCAGTGAGTTGGAGCTAACGATAAAGGAATATATTAAGCGTTACCTATAACAACAAGGGCCCTTAAGAAAAACTTCAAGCTAGGCAAGGTTTAACAAAGCAAAAGCGGAGAGAGTAGAAAATAGGACAATTATGTTGTGGTGTAGGCATAGGAGAAAGAATATAATACTCAGTGAACACAGATTGAAAGCTAAAGTAGAGCACAGGATAGAATACTGTAGGTGATAGTATGAGGTTAACCCCATATAGAATTATTTATTTCTTAAAAACCTATATTTGTATCTAATGTACCGTATTGTGTGTATTTAGAAGCCTATGAACTAGTTTAGTAACACTTTTAAAGTCCTCATTAATAGCATATTTATAGCTTATAAACTTTTTCTTATATATACATTTCACTATATTTGAAACAATGAATTCTTTTCCATATCCGTTATCCAAAAGGACCACAATCATTTCTCTAATCTTCTCGTTAAAAGTTTCAAATGAAGCACATGTATTAGCAATTCTCAAAGTTTCTGTGTAAATAACAGCTCCTTTGTTTTTTAGAGAAATATTACTACCACTATGTGGGAATTTAATAACTTTAAAACTAAAATCATCTGTTTTATTGTATAATTTAGTGTCTATTTTATTATTGGAGACTGTAATAGTGAGATCTAGATAATTACTGTGTTTGTCTGAAATATGTGTTTTTTTCAATTCTAATAAGTCTTTATATACCTCTTTCAATTTCTTGTCAATTTCGTCCTCTGTTTGATTATGTATTACAAGGAGGTCATCCATATACCTGAAGGGGTAAAAATTTTCTCTAGGATTGGCTTTACGATTTCTTGAATAGTTGTACTCCATTATAGAGAGGGTAAGATCCGCCAATAGAGGGCTAAAATTACCCCCTTGCGGCACTCCTGTAGTTTGTCTAAATATATTGGAACCGAGACTACAAAAACTATTAGTTAGTAGATGTTCTATTAGGAATAATAAATCTTCAATTTTATAAAGTCTAAGTTCTTTGGAACTTTCGCTACTATCTGTATAATAAACTCGATGACCATTAGTAGCTATGCTTGACTTATTAGCATTTTTAAAACAAATATTTAACAATTCTTTCATGTTTTTAATAATATCATTATGCTTTAAATTTGTAAACATATCTGTGAAATCTGCCGTATATATTTTAATGCCCTCTCCTCTTATGCAGTGAAGTTCGTGACTGATGTTTATATCACTAATAGACCAATAATTTTTAATAGATTTATTACTGTTTAGTACTACCCTGCAATAGTTCTTAAAGTGTTTTTTAATATGTGTGAATATACGATGTAGCTCCAATGCTACAGGTTTGAGACTACTATTATATGCTCCTGTAATATATCTGAACTTAATAGGACTCTTGTGAAGTTTCGGAAGTGCATAAATGATAGGTAAATCCGCTTCCATTTGTTTACTAATTTTGTTATTAATACAATGTTGTGTATGCATCTCTATAATACGTTCTTTATTGCTATTTTGCACCAATTCGTAGGTGTTATGTGTGTTGGTGTAGGAGAACATTCTGTTGTTGATATCATACCTAATACCCATTTCATTCATAATATTAATAAGATAAAATTTTTTACAGATAATGCCATAATTATTACTTGCTTTATCCAGTGGACAAAACACATAATAATTTTGATAAAATTTGATTAAATCGTAAGGAATACTTTCTGTACGTTTGTTCATGTTGCCTTTGGTAAGCAGAGGTTTTATAAATTTATGATAACTACTAAATAAATATTGCTTGACCAAATTAATTTGCGATATTTTGATTTTATATTTATGAACAAAAATAGCTATAACTTTGTTAATTAGATCTTCGTATAAGTTTTTAACTATATTTCTACTTACGCCTGGATCAATTCTGTATTTAGTTCCCTTTTTGAGTAGCTCTCTAAAGCTATTATCATTAATTACATTTAAATCACCCGTTATAACATGACCATGATTCCCATCTATATACTTTTTAACTGTCTCATTTTGGCAAATGCAGTCCCTCCTAAGTAGATTGTATATTGTTTCTTCATTTAAATTCCTTAACATACGATTATAATTAAATATTTTACTAGAAACCGCATTGTGATATCTATATATAAATCTGAGGGGGGTGAAATTATAGTTTTCCTTGTTACTAAATAATATTCTTGTTATTTCTTTAGAATTAAAGATCCTGGTAAAAGGCAAGTAATTGAAAATTGTGCTATGAAAATCAATAACTATATTATGGCACTTCTTTTTTTGTTTATTATTTTCATTCATATCATAATGAAAGTGAGAAAGTAGGCAGAAAATTAAAAATCTGGTTTTATTATTGACACACTCCAAAAAATCGTTACTAATGGATAATTTAATGATTTCTTTTATTTCTCTTTTTGGTAAGCTTTTTATTAGTCTATAATAGTCAATAGGTCTGAGCGTGCCTTCTTCTTTGGTGATTATTTCCAATATTCCTTTATAAGTTGTCTTTTCTTTTATTCTTTTGTTCTTTTTTCTGCCTCTATTTTCCCTATTTTTTGTTATTTTTAGCGAAAAGAAGGGGGAGTTACTTTTTAACAGGAAAGGCGTGTTAAGACTAGTTAAATTCCCAATGCCTCTTATATTATCATTTAAGCCAAAGGGATAGGGAGTCATCAATAACTTTATCCAAAACAATTCCTTTTCTAGTAATATAGCTTTTTCGTTAGTTTCTATAGAGTCCAACACCGTAACCTTAATTCCTTTATCACATTTGTAAAAATGATTGTATAAGAGCGTATGTTTATTATGTTTATAGATGCCGTTAATATGTTCGCCTATTCTATCCTTGAGTTTTCTTACTGTCATACCTACATACTGTTTTCCACAATTGTTACATGTTAGACAGTAAATGACGTTCTTTGACTTACAGTTAGTGTCTTCTTTTTTGTAGGTGTTAATATGTAAACCTGTTACATGTGAAACTATAGAGTTGTTTACATCAGTAATATTACAGGTTCTACAACTGTTCGAGCACCTGACACCCTGGTTGTTATTACCGAAATCTTTTAAGATATATCTTTTATCCTCTCCCCTTACCTTATGGAAATTTGTTTCTCTATAGTACATAAAGGATTATTTTTTGACCTATTAATCTAAGTGTATGGGCGGTCCAACCCATACGCAGAGAGGGATCTCCCCGAAGGGTTCGGCAGGACTGCTGCCCAGGGGTCGGCACTCCCTGTTTGTTCCCTAAGGGAACGATTAGCGCTGGAGGCGTCAAAAATTGATCCCTCTTGCCATTTTTGACTTGTATAACCCCATCAGCGCTAATCCCTATTTTTAATAGGAGGTATGGCCCTCCTTTTTTATGTGTAAAACTGATTATGTAATAAGTGACAAAAAACACAAGATAAGTACAAAAATTAAAAAAATATAAGAAATATAAAACAAAAATTGGGAGAGGAAAACTAGCTATAGGGTTTAAGGTGCTACTGATTTAATAACATTAGTGTAGTAACCTACATATAGTTATTTATTTTAATTTTAATTATATTTGATCTCTGAGAACGTTTGATCTTTACTCCCTGTTGTTCCCATCCGGAAGAAGAGACAGAAATTACCGTATATGATGCCTAAGCAAAAAAGGCCTAAAAAATGGGGCCTGAAAATTTTTATTGGGTTCCCGAGTTAAGTTTGGTATTTAACCATAAGTGTTTTTTAGTTGCGTACTTTCAAGGAAAAATCATTATTTTAAACCAACAATTTCTTACTTATTGATGAAGTTTATTTATCAAGCAATCATCATCCCTCCCTTATATACATGTTAAACTTTATTGTGTAGAACCTGAACTTAAAAACTGTGAACAACTGCTGCTGTTTTTATTTATTTGGCCTACTGTAGTTTTGAGTCGATGTACTGTACGTAACTGCACCATAGCGGTGTGTTACCATGCTCGCAGTTGCTATTGTTGTCGTTACTACTGTATTTTGTCGTTGTTACTTACTGTATTTTGCAGAGTACGTGACTACACCATTAACTCTCAGTCGCCCTTGTTCTGTTGTCCATTTGCTACAAGTTTATTAGTATGTTGCTGAATCGTTTCATTTTATATTAATTTTGACTTTTATAGATTGGCAATGTTGCCACTAAACTGTATAGGACTATTTTACATATTACACCCGAAATAGCCTGTTGTTTTAAGGATGCGGACTTATATGCTGTAATTCTGACTGGAGTCGCGGCGTCTCCCTACTTCGTTCATTGCTCATTTCCTAAATTGAGGTAAGTAATAACATTATAAAATATGAGCTTTCCACTATGGAAGTTAGAGGTTTAAGTTTAATCCGTATCCATTAATGCACGAGGACGCTGTCTAAATGCTTATTATTGAATAGAATGCTGCGAAAATCAGAAATTATGATTTTGTGGATGGGTCATGGATCAATAATGCGCGTATCTGACCAATCATAGAGTTTACGTTTTTCAGAGTTCAACTATCTGCTCCAATATTTCCTCGGTATATCGCATATTGCTGTGGATCGAACATGTGAGTTATTGTTAATTGGAAGTAAACATGGTGAATAAATGGTTTTTATATAAACGTAAATATGTAACTGTCCGCTGATTATACAAAGTATATTTTAGGTTTTCATGTCTAACTGTATGCAATAAGCACTAAAAAATTATTGAATTGTGGTTTCTTTAAATGCTTTATATTGAAGCTTTTCTTTCAGTGGCGCGAGTCGACAAATCAGGTTTCCTATAGTTACGTCTATTATCCGTTTTTGTGAGGTATGTTATTAAACTATCATTTTATTGGTTAAACGTTTATTTAATAACCAAGTAAGGCTTACAGGTATTTAACTTTTGTGTGAATCGATTGGTTTATCACTATTTCTATACTGTAAGGTGGAAACTAGGTGAGTTATTTGTATATTAGGGCTTGTTTTAATCTTATTAACTAGCATCTTTATACTAGTCTTGATTGAACTGTTAGAGTCATAGTTTATTGAACTGTTATAGTCATAGTTTTTATGTAAGCACGTTCTTTTAACTCCTTGATGTACAGATAGTTACGTAATAAGATTAGTATTTTTTGAAGGTAACTAAATAGCAAGGCCACATCTTCTGGTATTCATATTAAAGTGAAAATGGAGGGAGAGATAGTGAGTATATCACGTACTAGTAAAATAAATATATGTATCAATGATAATGTATTATTTCCTATGTTTCAGAAACCTGGTTTTGATCGAGAAAACTTTGATCAAACCAAGCGCACAGAGGCTCAGCAAGAAAACATAAACCGAACGGTGTTGTCGAAAATAGTCAGGATTGTTGCCGTGCCGAATAAAGAGAAAAGAAGTGCTAAGGAAGTGGCGGAATTTTTTATCAAGGAGGTCTGTAAAGTAAGTTTATAATATAGCAAGTTATAATATATCATAAAGATAATGAGTAGGTTAAATGATTTTCTTATATAGATTCAGTATGATGTTAAGGTATAACAACCCAAAGGATTGGTGTCCACTAACTTGGGTAATGCAAACCGGTGTCAATGCTGACACCGTAAATATCAAAGTAGGTTAAAGTATTATTTAATTTACTAGTTGAACATATTCTATGTTATAAGTTACTGTTCAGTTCCGACACTTGTTTAGGCTGAAATGACTTCCGCTTTTTGGGCAGACTTTTTAGAAAGAGGAAGAAAAAGTCTAGCCGAGTTCAATCGTAAAAATGGACACCAAAATACGACTCTATCGTGGACATACTATTAAGGTGTCAGACCACGAAAGTTTGAGGTTAGTGAGTAACGACAAGGTTATTACTCTGAGGCGAAAAGAATATGTTTGAGCTTGTACTTGAAAAGGAAAGAATATTTTCTAGCTTATACTTGAGAAGGAAGATACGCACTTATTGCGGAGATCAAAAATTGCCGGTACCAGATATAATCGTGAAGAATGCGTACCTTCTCATAAGAAGTCTTCAACAGTAATGAATTGAAGGTAAGTGTAGAAATTAAATTGATACCTAAAAGTTACATAATATATAATAAGACTTTATTTAGAAGTACAAGTCCACTGAGCTGGCATTGAGGCTAGGTTGGTGTTACTCTGACTGGAGTGGGACCCCAGTAAAAAAGTATTGTCCACAAATGAACTTAGCAAATATGAGGTAAGAGACTACCAAAGGAGAAACTGTTAGTGTGACCAAGATTATACATACGATTTAAGGAGAACCCAACTGTATATGGAACTATGCGTCTAGAAGAGCTAATAGGATATGAGTCCGTACGCGGTCGATCCCATGAGGTGAGAAAATTGAATAAAGAGGGATATGCTATACTAACGGAGGGTGATTGTAATAAAATAAGCTATTGAGTGACGTATCATAGTTATTAAAGGATGGAAGTAGAAAACTAAAATGACGAATGACTGAATTGCAGGAACCTAGCACGGGTAGAAAAAGACTGGCCGAACCAATGGAAAATCTTTCTCAGAAGCTACCTAAACATGGTAATATTCTGGATTTTGTTACTGATGTACATCAGGAGTAAATGTGAGACTATGCGGACAAAAAATTGAAGTGGACAATTTTTGTTAATAATGATGAGTTGTGTTGTTGTTTTGTTACTAATAAATGGTTGTTGGAAATAAGTGTAGTAATATTGGAAGAAGAATTATAAATATCCGCTCAGTATAACTACAGAAGTATTAAGAAAGCAATCTAATTACTGGAAGTCTCAAGAGAAGGATAGAGGTATAAAAACTGAGGGAGATAATAAGACGTCACCGACGCCGTAGTGGACCACCGGTCCTAAAAATAGTCACCACCGGTGACAAACAGGAGAGGCTAATCGCCTCCAGAAAGTGTATTTTAACCCGATAAACGGTGCTGGTGTATCACTAGTTACGGGTTACCCTCGAAGACTAGTGACAACCAGCAGTGTACAATTGAAAAGTAAAAGAACTGTTGTTAATATAGGAAGGTATCTCATACCAGTAAAGGAGGTAGGAAACGTAAGATACAAGATCAAGTAAGGAACAAGTACGGGTGGTCCGTTTCGCCTCTTCCTCAGCATCATCGGGTATCTCACATCGATCCAAGCTGATATGAATTCTCCTGCGTTGACTAAATGAGCCGCAACATGTTGCAAAAGCGGCGACAGGAGCTTCGTAAGGAACCAGCTCACTCTATCCGAAGGGCCTCCACATGACGATATAATTGGTCTGTTTTGATTGAGTTCTCTTCGATGTGACGTAGGTCAACTTCTTCCGGGAACTTGTGCGTCTTGACCAATGCGTAATACGTTGGCACCATCGGATATGTGAGAAGGAACCGTCTGGTTGTTTTCCTATCCATAATCTTGCTCAGGATCCGTGTTGTTGTGCGTCGGAGTTCATCAGATACTTTCTCGAAATCTCGCAGTGATGACAACTGGTATGTGGTGTTATCCGAGAGAGACTGCCGACCTAGACTTTTATCCATTGATTGTGTAAGGACAACGAAGTCTCCACTTTTGTCACTTACACTGTATCGAAGGTCGTTTTTCAAAAGCAGGAGCTTTTTCAAACCACGTCTCTCTTGCACAGTAAGGTTGGACGCAAACTTTGCTGACGTCTCGCTTGCGTAAATTTGCACCAGGTTAAGTTGAAGTGATGCCAGTGCGGGTTCCAGAGGTGGGACTGGTTTTGGAGCTGTCAATGATGTTCTCGGGAAAGGTATCGATGCTGCGAACGTTGACAGCCTATCCAGGACAGTCGGAATTGAATTCTCCCTCCATCGAATCTGGTGGGCGAATTTGTGGAAGGCACAGAGCACTGAATCCATTACTTCCTGGTTTACGGATGTTGATACAGCAAACGAGGGTCCCTAAGTTAAGCAAAGCCTCCATATCTTCATCCACTTCGTCCGTTCCGATTACTGTGCAACGTTTCGGTGGAGTTGCATCAGGTGAGATAAAATGCTGACTTCGAGACTGCACATGTGATCGCAGAAATGCAAGCTTTTCTTGCAGTTTTCTTTTTTCGCGCTCTCGAATTCGTTGGCAGAGCATTTGATTTCTATCAGAAATAGCTCTCCATACATTGATGTCCAACCTTTCTTGCAAGGAATTCTTCGTCGAGGTGATACCACGTATACACTGCGATCTCCGCTGCCTCCGCTCCGCGATGCATGCATCTAGCAGTGCGCGCCTCAGCGAAGTGAGACTGGTTGAGACATGTGTGTTCTGCGTGTATGGGATATGGGAAAGAGCCATTTCAAGAAATCTGGGTATCAGTCCTTGCGCTTTACATTGCAAAAGAAAAGCAATGGATTCGTCGTAAACAGCGGCAGCCTGGTGATATGCAATAAAATGCTGACTTCGAGACTGCACATGTGCTTGCATTTCTGCGATCACATGTGCAGTCTCGAAGTCAGCATTTTATCTCACCTGATGCAACTCCACCGAAACGTTGCACAGTAATCGGAACGGACGAAGTGGATGAAGATATGGAGGCTTTGCTTAACTTAGGACCCTCGTTTGCTGTATCAACATCCGTAAACCAGGAAGTAATGGATTCAGTGCTCTGTGCCTTCCACAAATTCGCCCACCAGATTCGATGGAGGGAGAATTCAATTCCGACTGTCCTGGATAGGCTGTCAACGTTCGCAGCATCGATACCTTTCCCGAGAACATCATTGACAGCTCCAAAACCAGTCCCACCTCTGGAACCCGCACTGGCATCACTTCAACTTAACCTGGTGCAAAATTTACGCAAGCGAGACGTCAGCAAAGTTTGCGTCCAACCTTACTGTGCAAGAGAGACGTGGTTTGAAAAAGCTCCTGCTTTTGAAAAACGACCTTCGATATAGTGTAAGTGAAAGTGGAGACTTCGTTGTCCTTACACAATCAATGGATAAAAGTCTAGGTCGGCAGTCTCTCTCGGATAACACCACATACCAGTTGTCATCACTGCGAGATTTCGAGAAAGTATCTGATGAACTCCGACGCACAACAACACGGATCCTGAGCAAGATTATGGATAGGAAAACAACCAGACGGTTCCTTCTCACATATCCGATGGTGCCAACGTATTACGCATTGGTCAAGACGCACAAGTTCCCGGAAGAAGTTGACCTACGTCACATCGAAGAGAACTCAATCAAAATCAGACCAATTATATCGTCATGTGGAGGCCCTTCGGATAGAGTGAGCTGGTTCCTTACGAAGCTCCTGTCGCCGCTTTTGCAACATGTTGCGGCTCATTTAGTCAACGCAGGAGAATTCATATCAGCTCTGGATCGATGCGAGCCTTTAACACATTGCACGTCTTTCGGACTAGCCTGGTTGCCCCCCGATGCCGTCCTTGCAACGAGGACCCTCGCATATTTTTCACACTCGTCGGGCCTTGCGAGTGCGCGTCGGCTCCCGCGGACGCCGTAGCATTATCTCGAAATTCATAAGGCATAGTT